GGAACAAGGCTTTGTAACGGGATTGCTTGTTTCACTGAGGAATTCGAACTACTGGCCGGGATTTGTGAGTACCATTTGCCAGTGCAACAAAAATGCCAGTTGGAATACAAATAAGATAAATAAAATAAAATATTTTTATGTTAAAAGAAGAACTAATAAAATGTTGGAAAAAAAAATTTTTAACGGTAAAAAATGTTTCGGTCCATTAAGTCCTAAGTCGTATACATTTCTTACCATTACCTCTTTGTCCTCTTTGTCCGGCAAATGTTTTTATTCTTCGTTGAACACATGTATTCTTTTTTTTCCCTGCTAAAAACATGCAAATTAAGATAATCTTGAGCATTTCAGGTTATTTCTTGGGCTTGTCAACGGCGCCAATTATGAATATGCAGTAGCTGAAGACCTGAACAGCCTGTCGGAGCAGCGTCACTGGCCAGCACATATAAGTGCCGTTACTTCTGTCTTCTATTCAACAGAAGCGGAAATGATTTTTAGCTGCAGCAAAGATAAGACAGCTGTTTGGCACTGCTCCGAAACATCGGTCAAAATTGGTTAGCAACTTCCAGAAATGTTATATTTTTTTCACCGGAAGTAATGTAAAAATTACCAGGAATTGTGCCCATCGACTGAAGTTTGCCTGGCGTTTAAATACTTAAGTCTATCACAGGAAATCATGCGGAATTATTATTATTAGAGTCGTTGAATGTTATCTGCTTATGTTTAGGAATGTTATCTTCTAATGATTCCTTAATTTTTTTTTTTTTTTTGCGCGAAAGATCGCTGTAGGTGTGTATCAGTAAGACAGGATCATCCGGAGCCAAAAAAAAAGAGCGGGTGGATTATTTACCAAAGATTAGTTGGCATTTTTGCCGTTTATTACGTGCTATTCCACAACTCCCCTACTTCAAGTACTTTCATTTCTCAACGAAATTGAAGTAAGGAGGGTTATCTGACGTTCTTGCTAGGCATTTATTGCGTCTTGTTTAACGAATAAGAATAAAGTAAAAAAAAAAAGTGGAGTAAAGCTAAACATTTAAGTTGATTAGCGTTTAGATAAGTAGAAGATATCATTTTTTTAGGATCATTTGTTGGTGAATCAAGCTTCACGGCGCTTGAATTCGATGCCCCATCAAAATTCGTATTTTTGGGCGATTCCAACGGCAGTATCACCATTTTACGTTTAAACGGTCCAGAAGCAACGGTCGTCAGCACGCTTTCTGCGCATACAAGTTCGTGTCTTTACGAAGTTTTGATTATTTTCATCTAATCGTACGGATTTTGGAGGTTACTATGAAAGCCAAGTGAAGAAAATTTTGAATTTTCCTACATCTGTCTAAGAGATTGAGGTACCAAGAGATGGATGGAGTAATCATATTTTACGAAAAAAAAAACCTTTTTTTGGAAAAATAAACGTGAAATTTCCCAACGTACAGTTTTGTAAGATTTTGCTTTTTTTTAAATTTTGCTGAAAAATTTTGCTTTTTTTTTAAATTTTGAATTTTGCTATATCTCTCTGAAATACATAGATGTTCTGTACAAGTATTGTTGATTTGATGCGAGCGATTTTGCATTTTTTTTGTTAAAAAAAATCCCAATTCTACCAATATGTTTTTTTTTTTTTCAGAATCCATAACATCATTAGCTTGGGATATGGATCGGCAGTTACTGTACTCGGCCGCGACCGATCATCTGGTAATTATGTGGGATATTGGCGGAAAGAAAGGACAGGCTTTTGAACTTAAGTAATTTTTCACAACGAGCCATTAACTTTTTTGTTTACTAAAAGATCACCGAAAAACGGATCATCGTGATGTGATATCTGGAATTGCAGGCATTTTTTTTTTAGTGCTGATAGGTCTAGTGTAAGGATGAGTGACCTTCAAGCCTGACCAGAAGATTTTGAGTTTGCAGCTGGGAAAACCAGTCCGACAAAGATTCATTAATCTGCGGAAAATTAATTCTGGCACTTGAAGGAGTCAAATTTTTAGCTTGCTTTTAATTATAAATAGGTATAAGTAAGTATAATCAGTATAAATAGGTATAAATTTATGTAACATCCGTTCCTCTTCTTCATGACTCATTACAGTAACCCAGTCCCCTATCCTCTTTATATAACATACTAATCTATAAATTCTTTCCTTTCCTTTTCTCAGTCAACAACTTTTTCTAATTCGCCTATCTGGCCGCTTTTGGGTCTTCATCCCCGGAAAAGAGAGACATTCCTTCTCTTTCGGGGTGGATTCTTTAGGTTTCATATAAACCCTCATTCTCTTCACTCTTGGTTCTGGTCTCATGTACGATTGGAACTATCGCGTCTTTCTTACATCATCAATCCTTCGACTCAATTCTTCTCGTGAACGTCCTCTCACTCAACGACTGACCCCAAGGGGTGTTTGGCAGAACTCTTCTTGTCCCCCATCTCAGTAGTCCGTACCGTTTGTGGTTAGGCCAAGTCACCAGCATCACTGATTGCTCATTGCTTTCTTTGTATCTAATAAACGCTTCCCTGCGAACCCTCGCGCCACAACGATCACCGCAACCACACAATATTTACCCAAACAGCTTTTGGAAGATGATACCGATAGCGCTAGTAGCTGTTCCTTTTCAATAAAAAGCCATTTCTTGTATCTCTTTTGAAGTGCTGCTTCTCAAAATAAGTAAAATATGAAGAAGATTGACTCTCATTCAGTAGCGCTGAATAAGAGTCAACCTTTTTACCAATTTTGGGTCTAAAAAAAAGGCATTGTGCGGTAAAATTTTTCTAAGATTTTTTATTACGATTTTTTATTATGATTTTTTTTTAAGATTATTCCCCAGAAATATGAATTTAAAATTACAGTTCGCACAACAGCAGCGTGACATGCTTGCAATATGCGCTGCACGCAAAGAGGCTCTTCTCGGCTGACGACAGTGGAAGTCTGGTTTGTTGGGATATGGCTGCAAAACGTGTCGTAACACCGGAATGGAAAACAAGCGATAGTTGCCAGTTGTGTGACTCACCATTCTTTTGGAATCTAAGAGAAATGTGGGACAAAAAGGTGGTGCTTTTTTGCTTTTTTTTTGAGCTGATGAGCACCAAAACTGTTCAAAATACCAATGTGAAGAGCTTTTGATGTCAGCGAGGCGATATGGAAATCTTGGGGCATTTAGAATTCGTATTTTTTGAGAAATTAGAATTGGATTTGGGATTTGTCAGCTCGCAGGCTTATGATCTGTCCTAACTAGCGTATTCCCCTGTTCAACTACAATCAAAAACAACATAATTCTGAAATAATTGGCCAGCGCACGGGCTGCCCGTGTGAAGATGCGTCTTTTGCATAGCTCTCCGCAGATTTTTGTCGCTAACAGCACTGGTTTTTCCGGCAAATGCTTCTAGCTAAAAGAATTTCAGACTGACCGCCAGTACTGTCAGGCAACATCCCTTCAAAATTCCAGTCTTCTAGCTTCTCACGTTCTCGAGTTAGCAACTTACCCGAAAAAAACTCACGGGCCCGTACGTAGGTACCACGCTTACCCGCGGGCAGGGTTTGAGCTCATTAATATCCAATTGGATGAGGAAAATCCCCTTAAGACTTCAGCCTTCTAGCTTCTCAGATTCCCGAGTTAGCTTCTTACCCGTAAAAAACTTTGGCGAACTCGTACGAAGGTACCACGCGGGTAAGGGCGTCCATTTCTGAGGATTGAGGCCCGTACGTGCATATAGATTAAGTTTCCAAAGTTTCAGCCCTGTAGCTTTTGCCGGTCTCGAGATGAAAGATCAATATAGACGCACACACAGACACACTGACATACAGACAACCCCTCGTCAAAATGCGTTTTCTGCATTGCATAGCTGCAAAAAAACGCATATAAATAAGTAAACTTTGGTTGTGCAATAACAACATACATCTGAAAATAAAACAAATAAACTTTGATACCAAAGATGATGGAGCTATATTATAAGTCATAAGAATAATTAGAGTAACATGAGGAGAACAGTCTGTCTTTCATCCCTTAACTGTAAGCACGAGATTTATGCGCGCTGAAAATCATTGCTGTACTTGATTGCTCCGCTGATCCATTTTTGCAAAATTGTGTTTCTGGTCATGTAGCAAGGAAGTTGGGCTGGTCATGTAGCAAGGATGCCAGACAACCGATGGACGAAGCGGATAATGGAGTGGTACCCACGTGCGATGAAACGAACACTGGGGAGGCCGCCAACACGATGGCGAGATCCAATCGTGCGCCTTTATGGTGTCACCTGGTCTCGTCAGGCTCAGGATCGATCGAAATGGAGAAGTTGCCAACTGATCGATGGAGCGACATCAGAGATCGATGAAACAACAGCTGTTCAAGGTATTCAAGGTTCAGGGTGTTTTTGCAGGTTGTTGGATTGCGTCAGCATCATTGCCGTACATGTGGTAATGCAGTATGTGCGAATTGCTGTTCCAATACAACACGATTTCCGCCAATGGGTTACGAATTACCAGTGAGAACATGCAATGCCTGCCATTCACGAATGCAGCAATTCCCGGATCAATTCGAGTAAGTCTTACTTGCATCGCTTACTAGTGCATTGGATGACTCTTTTTGCTTGGTATATTATTGCAGTGCAAAAACACATATTGTCGAGGGGTTGTCTGTGTGTGCATCTGTGTATCTAATGTCTGTATGTGTGTCTGTACCACTTTTTCATCTCGAAACCTACAAAAGCCGCAAAGCTGAAACTTTGGGAACTTAATCTGCATGCATATACAGGCACGTATCTCCAAAATGGTAGTCTTGCCCACCCGCTACTCAAGTACCGGCACGTGAAGTTTTTTTGCGGGTAAGTTGCTAACTCGGGAACCTGAAAAGCTACAAAGCTAAAATTTTAAGAGAATGTTTTCTCACAGTCGCGGTGGCCAATCTCAATTCTTTTAGCTAGAAGCATCTGCCGGCAAAAAAACAGTGCCGTTAGCGACAAAAACCTGCGGGAACTGTGCAAAAAACGCACTTTCGCACAGGCAGTTGGTGTGCTGGGCAATTATTTTTCTAGTAATTCGTGTCTTTACTAATCTTTCTTGAAAAGTTGGTAAATGCCAATACATGTTTTGGTGATTTTAGACATCCAAAAGACAAACTAAATAGATCATACGGCATAATTTCATGTTTGAGCTTCTACGCTGCTGTGTGTTCCACTGATTTTTAGAAGCATTTTCAGCCTGACACCGCTAGCAATAGTATCGGAATTACGTCAAGGTGTCACATGTATGCATTTGCAAGAGTCCACTGGTCGCCTGGTTACGGCCGGTGTCGATCGCGTCCTGATGATTTGGGATGTCAAACAACTGGTGTAAATAACAGGCCTTTGGTGCGCAGTACTTATTTTTTTTTCTTTAATTTTTTTGCTAAGCGCCTTTAGCTTGTTCAAATCGTCTTAACAGTACTGGGGAATGATAAGTAACAGCCATTAGAGGGGCCAAATCATAAGTGGACGGTCCAAGTGGAGCGACCGAAGTGGGTTAAATTGATAATTTGCGGCCCCTGGCAGGCCGAACCGTGATTTCTGAAAAAAACGGCCAGTCCAAACGTTCTGATTGGGATCGAATCTTTTTCTAATAAAAGGGACGCTTCTACTTAAAACATTGGAAAAATTGAGTCCAGTTACACACTGCAGTTCCTCCTTGGTAGTCGAGATTCTGTAAGAATCTTTATCGTACCCTTACTGTACCGATACTAGTGAAGAGATTTTGAAGAGAATTGATAGAAAGAATTTATTACTTTTTTCCCATATTTCCTGTAATACGTATTGTACGTTTATTCATCTTCATGAGCACAACTGATTAAATTCAGGGTTTACAGCGAAAGCTAGGAAGCTGAAATTTTTTTGGAAAATAAAACTTTTGCGAAGTGCGAGCCATTTGGTATAGTTTGGAACAGATTTTGCTACAGAGAAAGCTTTTTCAGCAAAACCAAGAAGCACTGATTTTGTTCCTAGTTTTGCGAACTATTGATATTAATACAGAAAAAATCATACTTTTGCATCTTTCAATGATACTGTGTTCCCTTTTGACTTACCAATAGTATCATCACTCTTTCTGGATGTCTCGGGTAACTTTGTTTTTTTTTTTCTGGCAGGCTGTGATTATTTGGCTTTATTTTGTATAAACGAAGATTATTCCCGAGCACTTTTTTGTGTATCATGTTTTATATCTTCTTGCTCTGGCATTGTCTCATAAGTTTGTATTTAAATCACGCACAGCGGTTCCTCACAGTCCCGCACTCGGTCTACCACTTTTAATGCGTTTTGTGCTGTACAACAGCTGCACAAGACACATATTGTCACGGGGTTGTCTGTGTGTGTGTATGTATGTGTGTGTATGCGTGAGTGCATGCGTGCAGAAACTTGTTAGCAACTTTCAACTCGGGAACTACAAGCTGGGAAGCTGAAAATTTAGGGTAATGTTGCCTACCCACCCGCAAATTTAAATTCAGCATCCCCGTACCCGCGGATAAAACGTACAGCCCCGTAAAAGTTTTAGCGGGTAAAATTATCTACGATTTACAGCAGTGCCCTTACTTTAATTTCAGATTAGTTTAATTGGAGACTCATGAGTTTTCTTAACACTGACAATACGACCAGACGCATTTTAAAGTTGGCTGCTCTAAATCCATCATTTTAAAAGCAAATGCATGAACGATAAAATATAAAATGACGAATAAGGTAAAGCTACGTAGTTAAAGATGAGAGCTCTCAGCTTTATCTAAGCATCAACTTCATAAATAGGGAAGTCTCCACGGCGACGGGTTTTTACTGGACCACTTCCAGTCGCATAAAGAACGAAAATAAGCCCTAGGAGAGCCACTTGAATGACTTGTAAATAAGATGAAGCTAAAAAAATTTCGCTAAAACCAAGACACGAAATTCTGTTCAAAAAAAAACAGCGAATTTTCGTAGGAAGTGAGAAAAGAATTACAGCCTCTGTTGTGTGATTTAGGTATCAGAGAGCGAATAAGTTCAGTTGTAGGGTATGAACTGAGCAGAAAGGGGGGCCCGTTCCACCCATGGAATTCGGAAAGTTTGAGCCATATTTAACAAAAGTAGCGCACATATATCAAACAAACGGTGGTATTATTAATTTTGAAAGTACGTAGCCCAGGATTTGGA